CTTGATTATTACATGGTTGATAGTTGGATGGATCGCCTTTTGAAAGACCGAAAGCCTGTTTTCTGGCAAACGGAGTTGGAACTTGATGTGGCAGGTCGATCTAAACCTGTGGATGATGGGCTGATGATAAGTGTCTTGAGGTGGATGGTAATGAACTGAAAGAGATAAAAGATGTATTGATAGAGGTACAAGATGGAATGGTGAAGATGAATAAAACTATGGAAGAAAGTTTTGAAAAGATAAGCAGTATGTTTGGTGGGTATGAAACAAGGCTCAAGGCTGTGGAATCGTTTGTGAACTCTCAGGGATGGAATGATAGGGATTATATTGGTTTTGATGATTATCGTCCTCGATCTAGGTTTTGGACTCATGGTGATTGCTCTCGTGGTGGTGGTGGACAGAAGGATCCATTAGAGAAGGATCTGAAGACTGGACTAGAGAATGATCCATCTAAGAAGGATCCATCTGAGAAGGATCTATCTGATAAGGATCCAGAGAAGGATTCATCTGAGAAAGATCCAGACAGTGGAGTGGAGAAGGAGACACAGGTAGAAGCTGAAGTGGAGAAAGAAGTCGAGGCAACTGAAGTGGAGGGGAGTGAAATGAAGAAGGAGCCAGAGGAAGAAGAACACGATGAAGTTGTTTGTGGGAAGAGGATTAAGAAGAAATCAGCAGCACTAAAGACTCCTTTCATGGAGCCACCAAAGAAGAGGAAGAAGAATTGAAGCCACCAACTCTATCTACTATATTTTGGTTTTTTATGCAATTTGGTTTAAGGACTCCCTACTACTAGTTCTTTTTATGTCAAACTGTGAACGTATCTTTGTTTCCAAACCGGATTTAATGTTTGTACTACTGGTACTTTTAGGTAAAACTGGGAACTTATGTTTGTACTACTGTTACTTTTAGGTAAAACTATGAACGTATGTTTGTACTACTGGTACTTTTAGATAAAACTGTGAACGCATGGTTGATTCGAAAATGATTAGTTTAGTAGAAGAAGGTATGTTTCATTTGACCGTATGTACAATCCAATAAAAACAAGTACAATAGAAGAACCAAACAATTTTAACAAAGCAATCCAAACTAGTTTAACAAAACAATCGAAAACATACAAGTACAATAGAACCAAACAAGTACTCGTTCAACATAGCAATCCAAAACAAACAAGTAGAATAAAAAAGTTTCGGTCGCCGTCTCCTTTTCATCTCTTTCAGCTCTTCAAATCCGTTTCCAAATTCGTCACCTTTGCTTGAAGATTGAAAACCATCTCCTTTAGGTGATTGATTTCCTTGTCACTTCTTACAACTTTGGTTACTATCTCAATGAGTTTATCGTTATGTTCCTTGTAAAGGTTGACCATCTCCTGAAGCTTCTTCTTATCTTCTTCAACAGTGGTGAGCAATTCAACTAGGCGACCTTCTATTTCTCCCAATTTGGTTTTGGTCAAAGTAATCTTCTCCAAGATTGCGTCATCCAACAATTTGTAAATGTGGCAATCTCCATCCTATGCTCCAATTAATTATATATGTAACAAACAATTAGCAAAATGATAAAAATAAGAAAAAATAAGGAAAATTAGCAAAATGATATAAGTTCCTTACACGAATATCACCAGCACAAGAGTAAAATTTGGTCCCCGTCAATAACCCAATTGTTTGAGTCTTAAGCAGAGCTGGTTTTCCACAGTAACATATGGTCGGAATGGCAATAGGTGAGGGCTCCCATGTCACCGGAGTTAGAGCAAATCGAATCAGAGTTATATCTGCCATACAATCATCAGTGGGGATGATGACTTCGTCATCCGAATTTGATGAGTTGCTGTTGTTGGACCCCGTATCAAACTCGCCGAATATGTCCTCATGTTTCCAACGATCCATGCTTCTAGAATCGAAAATTTCTACAACGATTCGTAAAACTAAAACCCAAAAAATAATGAAACATGAAATGGAAGGTTGATTTACTTACCGTAATCGAAAATGGAAGCTATCGAGAATCCGAGTTTCGGTCGGCCGCCGTCGCCGATGATGAGTGATGAGGAACCCTAGATTTTGGAGAAAAATCTAGGAATGAGTTTACGGTTTTAATTAAAAAAAATTGTATCCTTACTACTTTAAATACTTAAAAATTCAAAAAAAAACAAAAATATACAGTTTTTAGTCACGTGCGCCGTTATTATGTCTAACCCAATCAAAGAATGCCACCTAATTAGGACATGTACGCCGTCATTTAACACATAGTTTTACCCCAATTTTTTAGTTGTGCATATTTCTTAATAGTTGTACTTTCGGTGATTTAGCTAATATTTAGTTTTACCATACTATTAAAACAAAATTTGTAGTTGTACAACTTATTTTTAGAAATAGAAGCACATTTCTTTAGTTACCATGTTAAAATATGTTGAATATTACATTTCCTATCAGTATTTGCATCATAAGGTATACAACACTATCAAACTATACTTTAAAATGTAATGTGATCCACGGAAAATTGTGAAAATGGTATTGGAGAATTATACTTATATTTGGAAAATTAAATTTTAGATAAATAACATAATTATTCTTATGTTTGAAATTAAATTTAAATATTTATATTTTTTTTTGTTACTTAAGAATTTGAGATAAATAACATAATTATTCTTATGTTTGAAATTAAATTTAATTATTTGTATTTTTTTATTACTTAAGAATTTTAGATAAATAACATAATTATTCTTATGTTTGAAATTAAATTAAATTAATTGTATTTTTTTATTATTTAAGAATTTTAGATAAATAACAGAATGATTCTTATATAGTTATTTAA